GATGGGGTTGTCAGATGGACATGAACGACTTGCCCTTGATCGACAACGCATGGCCATAGCCCATAGGCGGCTCGGCGGGTGCTGAATGCACCATGATCACGGTTGCACAACCGACGACCCAGTGAAGTGGCCTGTCTCGAAGGCTCTGGCCAGGCCGGTAAAAGACGACAGGGTCTGGACTCTGGACAGCGTCGCGGACCCCGAAAGACCGACTACCGGGTACCTGCGTAGAGGTAGGTTACAAGCCTGCTGCTTCTAAGCGACGCAGCGTGTGTTTCGATTTATCAGCTGGTGTACGTGCTGAAAATCGTTTCAAATCTCGTGGTACTTCTAGAGATGATCCGCTGGGAGATGTGTGCCCATCAGATCGAATGCAACTGTAGTATCCGCAGTCTTCTTGACCCGATTTGAAGGCTAAACCGAATCCGTGAGACTATTAGTTGAATAAGGTGTGACAGCATCACAATCCTACCGCCGCGGGTTGCTGTTGTCACCGGGTAGCAATGGCCCGAGACAGAGCGACGAGCCCATGTCGAACCCCAAGAGCACCAGAGACATGATGTCATAGGTGTTGTTGATGCCTCTGGTGGGAGACTTTGCCCAAGTTAAAAACCCCAAAGCTAAAATGTCATCCGAAATAAATGGTAGTACATAGTACATACCTTTGAGTAAGGATTGTTGAGTGGCTGTAGCCCGGCAGAGACTTGAATGGCACTGATCAACGATGAGAGTCTTCATGTGATTATGTCCTGAGCTCTGTGGAGGTGGCTCGTTGACTAGCGACTTACGTGCAGCTGTAACCCAATTGACCAATCAGGAGCAGCTTTCTTCAGCCCGCCAAGGAACCGTCAACGTCGTCTTCTCGACTCTGCCGTCAACGACTTTTCCCGCTTTCTTCTATTCTCGCCTTCGAACTGCCAGCGACATCATCATCCGCACCATACGCTCGGCAGCTTCTCTTACACGAATCCGATAGGATCCTACATTGCTCCTGGGCTGTTACACGAATCTAAGCATGGGATCGACGCCACCCTCCATTCCAGCTCTCAATCCGGTTCCTACCTCTAGATAGCACAGTTCACGGGCGTCTCAGTTTGCACGGATGCGCAAGTCTGTGCAGCCGCTTTAGCCAGATCAATCGATCCCTTCGGTTATCCCAGCCGACCACAACACGCCCAAGACCCTCAAAAACGCCTATTACGGCCAACCGACCCTGATTCGGTTACTCTTCCCGGATTCGAAGCAGCAACCCAGTCTCGAACCTATGAAATCTCGGTGCCGAAATCTCCCTGACATTGAGAAACCTTCAACGCCCGCTAATTCGTGGCAGATCCGGGCCTTCCTGTTGGCCTCTGTCCAAGACGTATGCGCTAACGAAGGTCTCAGACTCAGCCCATCAAGGCAAAAAGCTAGACTTGTGTGTCGTACGACTCCTCCCGCTCGTTCTCCCTTTCTTCCAGAACATTGCCTTTGCAACCTCCGAGCCATCAGCATGTCCCAAACCAGCCTGTCGTGTTATTACCAAATCTCCAACACTGTGCCATTGATGGCACTGTTATCTTGGATCGATCTAGTGTTGGCTTCGGGGGTTCCATCTTGCACTATTCGATCCAAGGTGGCGCGGCAACAATGAACCCCTTTTTTGTGTTCCAGGGATATGCCGAACCCGTGTCTATCTTTCCAACTTCAGTACACATGGCTGGACACTCGCTCAAGTTACGTCGGATCTTCGGAAGAGCTAATGCTATGTCATTGTCCTGGATCATTCAAACGCTAATTCGAAAGCAGAATTACACCCGGTACGCCTCGTCGAGTCGCCTTTATGATGGGTCACGCCTGCCATTTGTTGGTAATTCAAGGCAGTCTACCACTTTACCGTTTGGGATTAGCAGTCTTGATGTGAGGTCAAGGATGCCATGTCTTGACTGTCAACTTTCGGTCCGCCAAGATACACTACTGTCGAAGAGGTTGCCGTGATGGGTTGGCCAGCCCACTCACTCGGAGCTTGGTGTGCCAACGGCTTCTTATCAAGACGCAAGGTGAGGTACGCCGACAGAGTATGGTGGCGCCTCAGGGTATCAGACATCAGAGCGGCAGCAAATCGTATGTGCCCCGTGCCAATCCTTCCCACCAGATCGCGCACAAGAACGGCCCCTTGGGCTGTCACATCAGCGCTCTTTCCTAACTGGCTCAGACCAGTAAGTAGGTCCAACTTCATGCTTTCAAACGCACCTCAACCTTGTTGAAGACATGGCAATATGGCGCCTTGTCGTCCCTCCACCCTGCCGCAAGCGAGTGACTATGCATCAAGGGTGCCCCTTCGTATAAGGGAGTGAAGGGGTCGCCGAACTCCCAAGGTTTAACATGGGCAAGACCCGCAGCGGCACTTCGGCGATCAAAACCTACTCAAAGATCCCGTCCCGAGCGGGTGATAACCTGCTTCAACTTTCATACATGGTACGCACAAGCCAACATGCGCGAAAGGGGGCTATCGAACCGAGCAAGATCTGCCAGACCCAGGCCTACGCCCTAAGAGCCAACCTCGACCACGACCGGGACCAAAATACTCCTAGTGGCGGGGACCACTGTGTACTGGGAGGGGTCTTGAATTCTTCCATCACTCTCCATCGTGAATAGCAAGCATGAAAAATCCGTGTCCGTATTCAGCCCGGTCTACATGTCACCTGTTCTTTTTCGTTTGAATTATTTTTGTCTCGTCACTGTTCATCAAGCTCGGCAGAGAACCAAAAACCCTCACCACAAGTCACAACTCATCTCTCTGGCGTCATGGACGTTCAATCTGGACCGCACCATACCGATACGGAGGTGTGTTCCCACACTCTCTTATCAAACTTCCATCATATCTAACCGTCGAGCAGATGGCGTATCTCCCTTTATCCCTCAACAGGGAACAATCCGATGGGCTGCGCTTCAAACAGCTTCTCTCTACACTCCATGACTCTGCCCTCGGCATTCAACACTATTCCAGACCTGAACAATATTCAAGCATACAGACCTTTAGGGAAGCCTTCGAACAGACTGGAAATGCCATCGCGTCCCTGTTGGCGACCAATCAACAACAATACGAGGAAATCAAACGTTTGCAAATGATCAACAAGGAAACGGAAGCGGCAGAGTTGAGGAAGAAACTCGCACAAGTCAACGAAGAGTTGACCATGTGGCGAAGGGCAGGCACTCTTAGATGCAGGAGTAAGCCGTGCCAGGAAGTTTTTATGACAGTGAGTCCATTAAGGTGGCTGGATCATGTTGAGTGCTGATGAAAGTAGTTCCAAGCTCTGAAGAATCACGAAAAGGGTGTCCATAATATAGGAGCAGAGAGATTCTCTTGCCCGTATTGCAGCAAAACGTAAGTCATGCAGAGACTTTGGCCAGTATTTCGTATCTGGTCACTAACAACCGCAGATACGTGAAGAAGCCATCGTTTGACGAGCACCTACGGCGCTGTAGGACGACAGCCACGAACCAAAACCATCTCGATGCAACGCCAGCCGTTGTATCGCCTCTAGATCAAACAGTCTATACGACGTCTTCAGGCATCTCAACCAAGATGAATTCATCAGATGATACATCGAGCTATCACGCGTTGACGGCCGCGTCGTTATCTCCTGATCCTGTCAACATGACCCCTTCTTCACAGCTAGAATTTCGGTTTCAACCCCACGACCCCATCGCAACATTCTCGTCTTCGCAACTTGGAGCAGGAATAGACAACACAGGCGCCTTCGCCCCGGGAGTACACATGAGCTCAGCCGAGAGCTATTCCCCGGGGGAGTCTGCTCCCCCACCACACTACATCTTGTCGCCTATCGACCAGCAACCGACTTGCTCCATTCCGATGTTTACAGAACCTACCTGGCACTCTGAAGAATCTCTGGGCCATCACTATCAACCTTTGCCTGCATCAATGACGACTCAGGTCTCGACGGAAGCGCCGCCGAGGGTATTGCATTTCCTCCGGCCTGGGCAGATTACGCTCTCGAGAAGGCAGAGCGCCCCAGCCTATTCTCTACCTCTGATGCCAGGAGAAAATCCGCCTTTTCGTCTTGATGGACCGCCCCCTCCGCTGCCGTCACATTTATCAGTAGCTGTGGCGTCGCCGCCGCCGCCTGCTAGCCCTGGCTACACCGACCAGCCGCTGAGTCTGACGGAGGAGCAGCCACAAATGACGTTCCACCGTGTGGGCGACAAGAAAAAGGGGCGGATGCAAATCGCCCAGAGCAACATCATACAGCATAACACTTGCTTCACCAGCGGTCCGGAAACACGGAGCTATGGCGCTGCGGGAGGATGGTCGAGTATGAATTATGCCAACACTGGGTTCGGTATGTGAGGCAAGTAGTCTAGCTGGCGGTTGTCACCTGAATGTTTTTGGAGACATCGAAGCGTACAGACATTAGAAACTCTTCCAGGGACCTAGGGACCTGACCGGTCTTTGGTCCCCAACTGTCATTTCTTTCTTTCCTTTAATCCAAGCAGGCCTTTTTCTTACCAATCCCAACCAAACGCTTTCGTTTTCTCCATTCTTCTCTGGGGTCACTTCTTTATTCCTGCCCGATGTACATCTATCTAACAAAGTTACCGGCATTTTATTCAGTTTTATGCCCATTTTGGACAACTTTTAGAGAGACAAACCGCGGGCAAGCAAGCAACGACCAGTTCATTCAACATTTATCAATCTTCTTCTCCATTGGCATATCTTTTTACGTACGTATATGCATGTTTCGATGGGAACTAACTATAACATCACGCATCACACACCAAAAAAAATTCCACACTTTCCATATGACCCCGACAGTCAACGAACGAGTCAAACACAGCTTAGACGAATGATAAATTCATGACAAGGATATTGAAAGGTCATACATACATAGGAAGTGTGACATGAAAGAAGAAGAAAAAAAAAAGAAAGAAAAAAATACATGGCTGACGACGGACGGCCAACCAGCAAGGCGGAAAGAAAAAGGTAATAGAAAAAAATTTGGGATTGCCCGGAATCGAACCGGGGTCCTCACGGATCCGTTGTGTCGAATTTGACCACAACGTGAAGTACTGACCACTATACTACAATCCCTGTTGTTGTGAAACGGCTCACGATTTAGGGCTTATATGTGTGGATGGCACAAAAAAAAGGGATGTTCATGTTGCGCTACCTACAGTCACTGTATGTACCTAGGTTAGGTTTTGTTCGTGCGCGATAAGCGATTGGTACTGTACTGTAGCAAAATGACGGAACCTTAACGATATGCCGCTGCTTTAACACTCCTACTCTAAGTAGGCTCTCAAAATTTTGGGTCAATTGGCGCTTGCAACTGATGGAAGGACGTCGGATCTGCAGGCACAGACACAGAGGCAACTTAAGGACGGGAGTGTGTTCAGACGAAATGAAGGCAAGGGTGCATCACACAAGCATCAGATCTACGGCTATACAAAGTCGATGTCATCATTGTTCATGTCTTGTTGGTATGTATAATCTAAGCGTTAACCATGCATGCTATCTACAAATCATAAAAGTATATGTAATGAATCTTAAACGCCCAAACGGGTCTTGAAATGCACCGCCGTGTAGCCCATGTGTCCCGGGCGCGGTGCAATGGCCCGGTAGTCGTGCGCGCGCGTGCATTGCGCCGCACCATGTCCATTCCATCTCATCTCTCTTGGGAAAAAAAAAACCCCAAAAGCCAAAGCCTTTTCTTCCCCTTCAGCTCATCCCATCATGCAAAAAAGGGCACCTTGTCATACAACCCATCATAAACCTTCCCAACCCACCCCAACGTCTCC